CCGCCGCCTCGGCCCGCCGAGAGTGTCAGCGCCACCCCGGCAGCGATCGCCGCCGACCCAAACTTTGCGGCGGCTGTCGCGGCGGCGATCACGTCGATCATTAATGGGTCGGGTCATCACCAGAATAACAGCAGCAGCAATAACAACAATAATAATACTGTTACGACAAGCAATGGCGGCACTAGGCAATGAGAGTTAGCTTCTTTAATTAGTCTTTTTATTTATTTATTTACTTTTTGGTTGGCTGGCTGGTCGGTCGATTTATTTTTTCGAACCTTTTTATGTTTTCTCGGGTGTTTTTTTTTTTTATGTAGATATTTTTCTAGGATCTGTTTTTATTTTGTCGGAAATGGTATGAATATTGTTTGGATATTTTCACTTTGAATTATGGGGTAAATAAAAAATTAGGTACATTACCGAGGAGGATATATTAAATGGTTTTGCTTGGCTTAGAGCAACCTAATATTTTTCTATATTTCCCACGAGAAAATAGAGTACATTGAGAGCTTCTTTTTTCGGAAAAAAAAGAGAGTGTAGGGGTCAAATTGGAAATAATAGATAATACGGGGGCGAAGGGGATGATCGGCGCACGCTTTAATCAACACAAACATACAGTATCAATTACATTTTTCACATAAAATTTGGAAATTGAATTGAATTTTGAGACCCCGCCGTAATCACGTTCTTTATTACGTCGGGGTTACTTATAGTGGTATCCATCATAAACAAATAAATCAATCCGAAATTATAATAAATTATATTCGATATTTAGATATTTTTTTTTATAAGATTTGGCCCAATGAGATTTGAATTCTGGTTGAGAGCACTTTGTGCCACCCAACCACTAGACCACTCCATTTGGGTCGATATTTAAATAGTTGGATCAAGGTTTTAAAATTTTTACATCTTTTAAAAATGGGTGAACCATCTCGTAAGATCCACAAACTCTAACAAGCGAGCTCGGGCGAGCCATCCCTAATTTTCTTTTATATTTACTTTTTATTACTGTTTTTGTTAGATATAAGTTATCATTTGTCATCTCTTTTTATTTTTAAGATATCGAAGATGATAATGATATCAAAATATAATATGATGTTTAGGTTTTACAAAAAAAAAAAGAAGTTTCAATTAGAATCCAATTTCATGCTTATTTGTATTTAAATTGATATGTATTTTCATGTATATTTCTAGTTAATTTTATCATTTTCATGTTATTTTGCATCGAATACAACTATAATTTGTATACTATTTATCGAAATAAAATTTCAAAATATTTTTAACGTGACGAAGGGATAATTCTTCTATTCAAATAAAAAGAATAGAAAAGTCTCGTGGAAATTGGAATTTGGTAAGAATTGGAATTATTAAGAATGATGGAAACTTCTCGTTGATTTGTTCATGGAAAAATATTTTAAAAAATAATAATAAATAAAAGTTAAGGTTATCATTTATATAAATAAAATTGCTAATATTAATTTAATATGAATATTTTTAAAATAAAAAATCAAAATATATAACGATATAAAACTTTTTCCATGTTATTTTGTATTGAATACAATTATAATAAGTAAGATATGCATCAAATCCAAACGCAAAATCTTTAGTTCTTATATGAATATCTGTCTTAAATTCTTGAGTTAGAATTCAATATTTTTAACGTGACGATCAATAATAGAGGCCATTCTTTCTATTTAAAAAATATTAGAAAAGTCTCATGAGAATTGGAATTTGTTACGGAAGCTTCTTATACATTTGTTTATGGAAAAAACATTTTAAAAAATAATAATAAATAAAAGTTACGGTTATCATTTTTATAAATAAAAAATACTATTATTTAATATAAATATTTCAAAAATAAAATAAACAGTCGAGATATATATATATATGATTTAAAACTTTTTTCCCATAATGTGTACAACTTTTATCTCGATTTAAACCTCTATCAATCATTTCGGTTTTGAAACTTGGATCTGTCTTTTTTATGTATAGATATTAAATAAAAACGCAATTACTAATTAATCTGTCTTTTAAATATTAAAAATATCAAATTATATTACTCTTACGTTTTACCCAAAAAAGTGCAGTCTTGTTTATTTAGTTGAAAATTCTTATATATATACACACACACGCAATGTTAAAGATAGTTACATGTAATTGTTTTTTTTTTTCCCAACAATATAATGTTTTCCATTTTTAATTAAAAATATTTCTATTTTGTTGGAATATAGTACAAATTTTAGAAGTCAATGTAACGTTTTTCAATGCATAAATAAATGCGAGAAATTTCGTAAAAAAATATAATTATGTATAATGGGAAATAGTCAGACTTGTGTATATAGTATAATTATAGAACTGAACAAAGGCACAGTACTTGCATTTTCATGTAAATGGAGAAGACTCGTGTGATTTCCCTCTCTTCGCTTCTTCTTCTTCTCCTCCTTCTAAGCCTCGAAGGCGTTCACGCAGGCTTCCGCTGTTACGACGCATTCTTCCCTTCCAACAGTTCCTACCGCGAAAACCGCGACCTTCTCTTCTCTTCTCTCCCTTCAAACGTGATCGCCAAACGCGGTTTCCACAACGCTTCGCTCGGAAGAGACTCCGACAGAGTTTACGTCGTTGCCCTCTGCAGACGAGGCTTCAACCCTCAACCCTGTCTCAGTTGTCTCGACAAAGTGATTCAGAACATGAAGCAAGGTTGTCCTGATCGGATACGAGCATTTTCGTGGGACGGCGACGAAGACGAAGACGTCTCTTGTCTTGTACGTTACACAAACGCTTCAACTTTCAGAAAACTGGAGCTCAGACCAATCACTGAGAGCCCTCATCCGAACAGTATCGAAAAATCGGTAAATCTTACGCTTTTCGAACAAGAATGGGACTCGATGGTTAACCTAACGATCCAAGCGGCTTCTTCAGCTGATAATTCGTCGGTGTTGAAGTACTACGGAGCCACGAGATCGGAATTTACGGAGGTTATGAACGTTTATGCACTGATGCAATGCACTCCCGATATATCGGCTGGCGAATGTAACCAGTGCCTTAGAGAAAACGTTGCGTATTATAAAACCCGATACTGGGGACGACAAGGAGGTGAGATTGCAAGGCCGAGCTGCTTCTTCCGGTGGGATCTTTATCCTTTCTACGATGCTTTCGATAACGTAACCAGAGTTCCTGCCCCTCCACGAGCTTCACCTCCTCCTCTGGTCAACAACGGTGGATCAGTCAAGAAAGGTACGTAATGAAACATATCTAATTAACTGGTAGATTCATTGTTACAAGTTATGAACGTATGGTGTCTTCAGATTTCTTCGTTTTGTAATGATTTTTCGGGGCTAGAAATCGATCATGCAGGGAGCAGGAATCGGTTCAAGAAGATTGCGATAATTGTTGTTCCCACCGTTATTAACGTTTTTGTGTTCGTTGCTCTCGTTTCTGCTTATTCCCGGAGGAGGAGGACGAAGTCGTATATCGAACTCAACGGTTAGCTGGCCTTGTTCTTGAAATACCCGTTTGCTATATTTATACAAGTGATCAAGAGCTGCAATGAAACGCGAGTTTTATAATCAGTATTTAGTATTGAAGCTTCTTTTGTTATATATACTTGCAGAGTCCAGTGATGGTAAGTTTACACTACGATTCGATCTCGCCACTATTAAAAACGCAACGGATGACTTCTCGCTTGAAAACAAGCTTGGACAAGGTGGATTTGGTTCTGTCTACAAGGTGGTAATAACTTTGATCGGGTTGAGTGTAAATCTTGAGTGGATATCGCTTATCTGTACGTATCGTTGTTTTCATCGATCAGGGGGTGTTACCGAACGGACAAGAGATAGCGGTGAAGAGATTGGCTGGAGATTCAGGACAAGGGAATCTGGAGTTCAAGAACGAGGTCTTGATTCTGACAAGACTCCAGCACAGGAATCTTGTTAAGCTTTTTGGATTCTGCAACGAAGGAGACGAAGAGCTTCTCGTGTACGAGTTCGTGCCAAATTCAAGCCTTGATCGCTTCATATTCGGTGAGCAATATCATCATCACTTCGTTACAAAAAAAAATATCTTGGACGATATATATATATATACACACACACACACACATTACACATATATGCAGATCCAGACAAGCGTTCAACTCTTACGTGGGACATAAGGTACAAAATAATCCAAGGCATTGTTAGAGGGCTTCTTTATCTTCACGAGGATTCACAGCTAAGGATTATACACCGTGATCTGAAGACAAGCAACATCCTCTTAGATGCCGAGATGAACTCAAAAGTATCGGATTTCGGGATGGCGAGGTTATTCAACATGGACGAGACTCGCGGAGAAACAAGCCGGGTGGTTGGAACATAGTACGTTAAAAAAAACAACCTTACACTAAAAATGTCCGTAATAAAACTGGTAACGTTACTGTATATATATGATGCAGTGGATATATGGCTCCCGAGTACGTTCGAAACGGACAATTCTCAGCCAAATCCGACGTTTACAGCTTCGGGGTCGTGCTCATGGAGATTATAAGTGGTCAGAGGAACAATCATTTCGAAGTAGAAGGACTTCCGGCATTTGTGAGTCAAATCACTTACCAGTAGACGTGTAGTGGTCTTCTTCCTTGAACATAACCTATGCTAAAACATGACATATATACGTATATATATGTATATATGCAGGCTTGGAAGAAGTGGGTTGAAGGAAAGGCCGGAAATGTGATAGATCCCGTTTTGAGAAACGGTCCACAGAATGAGACAATGAGGTTCATACACATAGGTCTTTTGTGCGTTCAAGAGAATATTTCCAAAAGGCCGACCATGAATTCGATCATTCAATGGCTTGGAAGCGAAACAACTACGATGCCTTTACCGACAGGTCCTGCTTTCATGGTTCATTCTCTCGCAGATTCAGACGCTTCGTCTTCCAAATTGCTTAAATACGGCCCTTTGAATCCGTACAATAATGGTGAAGATGGTACGTGCTCGTCGAATGATGCTACGGTTTCAGAGTTATATCCTCGTTGAAGTTGCATGCATGCATGTCATTTCCCTACGTACGAGTTTAGTTTTTATGTTCATGTTTTGGATGAGATTGGCTAATTTTGTCGGCCTTTTCAATTTGGGCCTCGAAACAAAGCCCATGTAAGTGATGTATGATAGATAGTATTCATTTGTGGATAGATTTTAATAATATATATCGTATATAATTTAGGTGACATAGTAAACAATATAGGTTTTAAAATTTATTTAGAATTTTTTATGAATGTTTATATATTTATTAAATTGAATTATTTTAAGTTTGGCATATATATATATATATATATATACCTGCCTTGAAAAAAGGGGATTAATTATAAAGAGGATTTTTTTTTAATCTATATACATAACAATTGTAGCTTCGGTGGAAAACAAATCTAACCAGATAATATTTCAAGGTGACGGATTGAATTTTATTTTTAACTTTAAACATTTATAAATTCGATACATCATAACAAATTGATCATAGGGATTTAAACGATATATAACAGGACGAGCGTGTATATCATTTTTTTTTGTTAACGGAGCGTGTATATCATTGCATGGCCCATAATTAGGAATCGACATTAACTTAGCATCGTATACGTATCCGATCAACCAACGTCGACCCAAAGACTAAATCTGCAATTTGACGACAGTCATCTGCTTTACCAACTGAGCCAAGGTCGATTACTTATGGTGCGTAATCGCTATTACGATCCTTGCGGGTTACCGTGGAAACGAAGCATGTGATTGCTACCAAATTTGTGTCGGGCAATGTAGATATATTGGTATAGTGTCGGTTTTATGAATTGAATCGAGTTGATCGGATTTGATTTGTTGGATCCCCTTGTCAACTTTTATTTTCACGCAAATGATGATGTCTTCATTAGTACAAACTAATTTTAAAAAGGCATTGTCTTGATTTAGATCACGTCGACCAAACAATGTGTTCATGTTATAAAACAATAGCGTATAATAGAGTTAGATATGTTTTAAAATGTGAAGAAGAAAAACACAATTTATTTAATCCACTCGTATGCTTATTTTGAAATAGATTTCTATCAAACAACTATTTTGACCGACGAACAACGGGTCCATAGCGCATCTTTCTTTGCCAAATATTCGGATGCACGCGCGATGAAACTTGGTCTTTCGGTCATGTATTTGATTAGAGTGTCATGACAGATTTTTCCCTCCAGGACAAGCTCACGACAACAAACATCGGAGACTGTCCCGTTCCAGAAAATCTCTTCGACGATATCCAATGTACACTTTGGAGACATTTTGGTGAGACATTCATCCCAAAGTTGTTTCGGTTCCTCTTCTTCAATAGCAAAGACGGGTAGAGATGCATACACCACAGCTACAACAGCCAATGCCACAACGATCTTGATATTGAGTGTTGTCATTTTGGCCGAATATGTTTGGATTTGACTAACTAATATGTTTTGTTTTGTGTTTTCTTGATATTGAAATCGAAGTACGAGTTGTATTTATATACAACAATGAAATGATAATAACATCCGTTTAACTCATATATCATTTATTAATGGGGAAGTTTCTTTTGATTGTGTTTTCTAACATCACCATCCAAATCCAATAAACTGAAAGCTGTTCATAATTGTCATGTCTAACAATAGAAGATATTTTAAAGACCACCTTGTTCTTGTTTTATAATGTTCGTATCTTGCATGTGAAACATGATCAACTTTAAAAGTGTGTACATTTGATGTTATCGCACATATACACACACACACACATATATATATATATATATATACCTCAACACAAATGTGTACGTCTCATCATTATATAGCTCATATATAATAAATATTCTTATAAGTTGAAACATAATTCGACATCAAGTAGACTTTTTGTTCACGGACACAGATTGTATTAGAAGTCTCTGCGTGTGTATATATATAGCAGTCTAAATCATCACCAAGAGTCTGTGTGTGTGAGAATGTGAGTCACCCAAATTTCAAAAGAAGGATCAAGTAAAAGCTCTAAAGAGAAAAACACCTCCACACGTGTGATGAAACTTGAAACAAAGCCATAAAGCTCAAAGGGAGGGAATGCACATCAGAGTGATCTTTTGATGATCATTCAACTTCAAGCAGGAGATCCGAACGTGTTCTCTCCGCTGTAAGTCATGTACAGGAACCCGTCTTCGTCTTTGTGTTCCTCGTATATCGCAGACATCAAAGCACCTTTGTAAAATACGAGAGGCCGAAGTTCAGTTTACATGTGAAATATAGAGAGGGAGGAATGTGGGCGTGGTTTACCAGTTGGAGGCAATGTGTCCCTGACAAAGATGAAGATGGCTTTCTCGGCCCCGAGCTTGATTCTTTTCCTAACCACGTATACAAACTGGCCAACGGATAGATCGGCCGGTACAAGATACCTGCAAACCAGACAGAATAAGATCCGTGAAAAACACGCAATGCCCTTACCCGTAAGCCGTGGATTTTCATTCGAGATCGCAATTTATAACAGGGTTCCGTGTTATCAGTGACAGGATTTGATGGTTGGATTCATGTGTAGGCAATTGATCAATCTAATCAGAAAGCCTGAAATGCAAAAAGAACCAATCAACTTTGCAAGTTGGGTCTCTGCCTCCAACCAAGAATGAGAGTCTCGAGTCAGAATCTGAGCAGCATCAAAGTTTTTAATCTGAAGCAAAGTCCCTTCAGAGGTCGCAGTAGCAATGAAATTCGAGCATAACATACAGAAACCATGGAAATAGAGTTCAAGATTGACGCATAAGAGGCCAAATGAACAAAGGAGGATATGAACGATGATGCATAGAATGGAATATCGGATTCGGGCTGTAAAACACGTGAAGAAGACACAATCTGATATTGCCAAAAAAAAAAAGAATCAAGACACTATTTTACAATTGATAAAAATGGTAAAAAGTATCTGAATGTCAGTATCAAGGTTCATTATCTGCTATAAACCAACGATCCGCGCGTAAAGAGAGAGAGAGAGAGATGACTACTCACTTCTTCTTATCGATGTCAGGAACATCACTTTCCCCGGCCTTCTCCACAACCACCTGCATACAGAATACAGATTCTGATTTGAGTAGAACAACCGGAAATCAGGTCTGTTAATGGAGGGTCTCTTCGGGCAGAGGATAAACTTACTGGAATCCTATCCGGGTATTTCTCTCTGATACGAGCAGCTTCCCCCTGCCTTACCTCTGACATGAAAACCAACTAAAAACTATGATCACGACTGCAACATTAGGGAACTTAAAGCATAACTGCAGAATTGAGGAAGCCCTTATTCGAAAGGATATTTCTTTCCAGCAAGAGATAATCCAGTCGCTAACAATTTCTCAAAAACTTGATGTGTTGTTCGCCGAGTTCAAGTAACCTCGGATAAAATGCCTCATCCAACATGTAATGCTAACAAAACGAAGCTCTTCCAAAGCGATGCCGAACAGGAGTGAATCAGGACCATATGCAGAGGTTGAATCAGAAAGATGAACACTTACACAACACCATGATATATACACACAAGTCACTTAATACGATAAATATTGGAAAAAATACGAGGAAGCATGTGTGCGAATTCAATGCGACTGATCCGGAATTCATGGTGATCAAACATTATTCAGGGGAAAATAAACTACTCCGCAACGATCTTCCGATGTGCTCTTGAATCGAAACAAAACAAAAATCTCCAAGAACATAACTGGGGATTTATCGAGAAATCGGATGAATTCTCCAAAATACAGAGAAGATCAAAACTAACCGAGAGGATTAGAAAGCTTGAAAGAGCTCTTAGCCATGGCGGTCCGATCCGTCTCTGCGAATTTTAAGCACGCAAAAATCATAATCGAAGCGACAGCAATGATCTAATCCACCGCCAGATTGGAAGAAGCCCAGAACCCAAAACCCAAAACCCAAAACCCAGATTGGACAAGTCAACAAGCGAAAAATAACCATACCCAGAAAGAGGAACTCCTGGTAACTCCGGGAACTAGGGTTTGCTGGGAAATTTGATGTGACGAGAAAGCTTCTGATGCGAAATTAAGAGCAAAAGAACAACGAGGGTCGATATCAAGTAAAGAACACTTAAAAAGATTCAATGGTTAGGGTTTTTTTTTTCTATTTATTTTTGGTTATGGTTTCCCTTACGGAACCTGACACTTGCACAGTTTGGCATCAACCCGGATTCAGTTGATTGGATTACAAGAAAGCTCCACCTTATCACACGTCAGCATCTGGGAGATATCATACGACGTCGTATCATAAGTGGGCCATACAATGGGCCTCAATCTGTAACATGGGGCATAATAACATAATCAAATTTTAACGCCACAACATAGGGCATATATAATATCCAGTGATAATCAATACAACAAAAATTTCAAAATAATTATATCATTACATAATTTTTTTATCTATTTAAATAATATATTTACAAATTATAGTATGGTTCAATAGAGAAATAATGCGAAAAAAATCAAAATAAATTAACATTGAAAATTAACTAGACCAAATTATACCGAACTAACTAATAATTTATGTTGCACATATCACAAATATGGTATATATAAAAACATAACCGAACTATGATATTTTAACCCCATTATATATAATCCATAATAAATATAAACACGTAACAAACTTTGTCCATAAACCATACTGTTCATGCGTAACATTGGATTTGTATAATAAATGCAAAGGAAAATGAAATAGAACCAATAAAATAAATTTTTTTTTTGGTAAATAAAATAAATTTATTTGGTATGTCTGTTATATAAACCATTCAATATATCAGAAAACGGCGAAGGTAATAAATCCAAAGCATAGTCCCAATGATTCCTCTAATTAAGAGCTCCAAAAAGGTAAAAAATATGCTCTTCTATAATACAATTATAAATCATGAAAATCAAGAAACAACATAAGAAATGACATGGGTCCCATGCATGGGCTTAAAATCATCATCATCGACATGATACTTATCTAATATATATGTATATATATATATATATAAAGCTTTTGGTGAGTGATCCCCACATGACAGTGACAGAGATAAAGATGATGTGGATATCATGAAGTTCGAGATGGTGATGATGATGATGAATGTTTCATGCACATTGCTCCATTCCATGATAACTAATATAAATATATATTTTTTGTCTACTCCAAGAAACCTGTTTTTGTCAGGACAGCGTTTCTCACTTTGCTTAGATCTCTTCCCTTAAGTGTTCCCCCAATTCCTTCACACATGGAAAATGACGAGATCTGTGTTCTTGCCAGCTTTCTTGCAACCCATTCATGTGGAGGCACCATACCATCATCAGTACTATCATCATCGTCGTCGTCATCGTCATCATCATCATAGCGCAAACCAATATTCTTCTTCTTCTTCTTGTTTCCATAAATCTTGGACCAGTCAGGGACATTCACAGGAGCAGATGACTGTTTTGCCCCTGCCCTTTCTCTGCTTCTGTCTCGAATCACTGTTCTTGGTGAGCTAGGAATGAGCCATGGAGAAGGAGGAGGAGGAGGAAGGAGACTTCTTGGAAATTTCGTTTCAGGACCTGAAGTTTCCCTCTCTTTCACAACTGACCACACATCTTCTTCTTGAAACTCTTCCTCCATGGACAAAAGCCCTTCTTCTGCTCCTGTTGTTTACTCCGAAAGCCATGAAAAAACTTGCATTAATTTCTTTTCAAACCAATGGAAAAAAAAAGTTATTTTTAAAAAACACATATAGAGAAAGATGAATTACCAGATGATACGAACAAGGAAGGTTTGAGCTGTGGCAAAAGCAGATGTATCTTGTATAAATAGGCAAGAAAAGAGGCCCTCTTTTAACCCTTTTTTTTTCAATTACAAGCATGTTTTTTTGTGTGTTTGTTTATATTTCCAATTTCAATATATTTTATTTCAGTTGTTTTTATTTTATAAAAACTTTGTTTAATTTCTTCTATTAAACTTTGATCAAATTTTATTTTAAAAACGATTATTGTTTAAAATATCGTTTGTTACGATTTTTAAATTTATTTTAAAATTTTATTATAAATTTAATTGTTTTATGATTTTAATATTTAATAAATTATATATCGTTTAATTGGATTAAATGAAATTAGTTAAAAAAATTGAAATTAAGAAAAATAAAACAGACTCTTTGAACTTCAATGGTTGAAATATTTGTTTGTAATTCAAGATTGGTTAGTTCAACCGGTAAGGAAATGGATTAAAATTTCTTTTTAATATGGTTTCGAGTTTTCGTTTAGGGAAGAACATTCACATAAGGTTTTCTGGTTTTTTGGAAGATAAAATTCGGTATTTTTCTATATTATTGAAAAAAAATATTTGTTTTTATTTTTAAGATAATGCTTCCGAGAGTTAAAAACAAAAACATAAGATAACGAATTACAAGAAGAGGAGTAATCTACGTAAATATTATTGCTATATAGGTATATAGTCTGAATCATGTAAAAATATACATATAATATATATAATGAAATGAGTTTAATTATATAATTTTACAGACCAAAATTTTAAAATCTTTTACAATAATTTCGAAATAGTAAAAACATAAATTTTTTGAAGTTTATAAAATTACACACCATTATATTTTGTTATAATAACAACTATAGTTTGTTATAGAGAAAATAATCTAATAATTGTAGTTTTATATCAAATATTCAAAATTTTTAAATTGATTATGAAATTAAAAAACACTGAATAAATTGATTGCTTTTTAGTTTCTAAACTGATTATGATTCTTTTTAAGGGAAAAATATATTAAAAAAGATATTTAAAAAAAAGATTTAATTTAGAAATATTATTTTCAATATATATTTTTTCCAAACAACTCGTAATCAATTGAGAAATTAAAAAACAGTCGTCCTTTCTTCACAAATTTAATGTCTATTTACATGTACGTGTGTGTATATATATATATGTCAGTGTTTATGCAGAGAGTCAGAGAGATGGATTAGATAGATGTGATAATGTATGTAGGTGAGGTGGGGGTGACTGATGTGGGCATACCCATTATTATTACTACAATGACATTTACAACATAATTTTTAGTTTCCTCCGGCCCCCAAAGTTACAAATATCTCGCAGTTGGCACCCCAAAGTTTATCTTTGTTCAGAAACGCCCCTGCCGTGCCAAATAAATTTAGATTAAACACGTCTTACGTCATAAGAGTATGACATGTCCTGTAGACTTCAGACCCATGTTCTTTAAACAATTTATTTATTATTAATTCCATCTTTCCATATAAAAAAACGAAAACTTTTCACTGTATTTGATCACTTACAACTACAGCATTCTTTGTAAGACGAGTACCCAAACTAAAGCCGCAAGCGATACTTTCAAATTCAACTAAGTAATTACATTACATGAAAAATCCTATGGGCAACATGGAAAAGTAGTAGACGCAAGAAACGATTATTACAATTCCCCAGAGAGAGAGAGAGAGAGAGAGAGAGAGAGAAATCATTCATCATACAAGACGAGAAATGAGCAAAAAAGAGACTCGTAAAAATTCCACCTATCCTTTTTTCAGGTGGGTCCATCAAACCAAGGCATTAGCTCCGGCGACGATTTCAAGGATCTCGACGGTGATCTTGGCTTGACGCTGCCGGTTGTAAACCATCGAAAGCGTCTTCTTCGGCTCCATCGCGTTATCGGTGGCACTGCTCATGGCTCAAACTGCAAGATTGGTGAGAAATCCACTGTTGCCGTCCGAACGGTTTCTCTCTCCACAGTTAACTTCCCCTCTTTCGGCGAGAGTGGCAGCAACGTGTGAATCACGGGGTCGGATTTCACCAAAGACACAAACTTTGTGTAGAGAAGCTCCACTTTGTCAACTTCCTCGCTCACAAACAGGGAAAATACATCATCGGCAATGGCTTGTGCTTCTTTTGCTGTGGGGAGGTTACCTGCTTCAAGGAACTTGTCGACGGGAATGTACGGCCTCCGGATGAAATATGAGTTACCCTTTTTGCCAACACTGATGACGGTGTACTCAAGACCAAGGCCCTTGAGCTCTGCAATTCTCGCCTCAGCTTTCTTGATGATTGCGTTGTTGAATCCTCCACAGAGCCCCCTATCTCCGTGATGACAACCAAGGCGACCTTCTTGACGGGTCTGATTTTGGTGAGAGCGATATCAATGTCATCTGTCTGAACTCTGAAGCTGCTCGTTGATGTTGTAAAGAACCTCAACCAGGGTTTCGGAGAACGGCCTGCCATTAACCACAGCTTCTTGGGCTCTCCTGACTTTCGCCGCTGCAACTAGCTTCATGGCCTCTGTGATCTTCTGGGTGTTCTTCACCGAATCAATAAGGTCTCTTAGCTCCCGGAGACCGCACTGGACCGGTGTCACAGACGAGGATCTGGACAAGCTGTTGGCGCCAGTGGCAGAGTTATAACTAGGGAGCTGAAGTGGGCTGAGAACGGATCGGAATGACAAGGGCGAGGAGTCGGAAAGAGATGGTTTCGGTGAAACCCACATTGTCAGATTAGAGCAAGACATCTGTGTCCACGGATTCTTGGACCTACACGAATCACCGGTCTTGCTCGAACAGAGGAGAGCAGTTTTCAGTAGTTCCGTTTCAGCGATGACCTTGTTTTCCTCTTCGTTCTTCTCATCTGATAAGAGAGAAAAAGAAGAGGGGAATTTGAGTGGAGGAAGAGGAAAGGGAGAAAGGAAACGGATGAGGTTTCCATATAAGGTTCCATTTACGTTGTATGACCGTTGGAGCAAGGAACTATGGGGTCCACTTGCTGTCTGACTTCGATCGAACATAGTGGGTGTTTCAATATCTCCCAACTGCTTTGCTGCCCACCTGCATTTTTGTGACGCCAAACTCTCTGTATAAGCAGCACCAATAAATCTCCCAAACGTCAAACTTTGAGAGTGTCTCTCAGATAAGGAATATCTGGCAAGAACGCATATTCTATCAGCAACCAAAAACCAGATATAAACTTTGCTTGTTAAGATTAGATGTCAAGTTCTTAAGCTCGGTTAAATAAACAAAACAAAAAAAATTAAATCTTTCATATCAATAACAGAGAAGTATGGACATACCAAGTTGCCGGGCGTTTAGATAATGCAAGTGACCTGCAACTCTATCACAACTTAGTAATCCTCTGAATGGTTAATATGGCAAGCGATGGTAAATGTTCAATCAACCTTATTTATGATTTCATGGCTAGCAGCAATTCTACTCTTCCAGCAGCTGTTACAAAGAACAAACAAGAGAACCAGCTCATGGATTTGTGGCTCGAAAGATACTGCTAAAAAGTTGAGAACTGAGAAGATAAAACTTGTTCATCACCTTGTTGATAGGGCCAAGAATGGGAAAACTCCAAAGATGGTTGGTAAAGAAATCTTGAAGTAGGCCATAAATGTTCTTCCTCCGATGTTCTTTTCCCACCTTGCTTGGTTTTCTGGAGTTCAGGATGAACAAGCTCTATCTTTGTCGTTGCATCGAGAAGTTTCTTGGCTTGTACCAATATCTACATTTGCTTTTGCCCGGAAAACACGATTCCTGGGTTTCTTCGCTGTTGGAGTGGCCAGAGGACCCAGACTCAACAGTCGAGCAATGCCCACATCTTCCTTTGATTCCGTACCTCTTCTCTTTGCCGGTATTCTCTTTTTACAAGATCTACTTGGACTAGATAATGCTGTCACTGTCTCATTTGCCAGTTCTTCAGAGGTTTTTGCATCCATTTGCTTACCAGGCTTTCTGCAGATAGAGCGGCTCTCCAATTCCAGACTCAACCATGGACTGCTCCTAGAATCCTTACCTAGCTCTGCCGCAGAAGATCTTGAAGAAACAAGACCTACCACCGACAGGTCTGAAATTTTGGATCGAGAACTAGTCAGGTTTTCTAACCCTCTCTCACTCCCGGCATCTGGCACTGTTCTGGTTTTTTCAACAGCAGAGCTCGGATGATCCTACACATACAAATTGGGTAAGTAACAGTTTCTTTTAGAGAACAAAAAGGTGCATAGGAAATCCTAAAGGTAAGTTGTAAAATGAAAGGATCAGAGTAACTGCTGCTGGAAAACATTGTTATTCAATATAGTCTCATTTCTCATCTAGGGTCCGCATTGATGAACATATTTCACAAAGGAAACCATCATCAAAACAATAAATAAAAAACTAACCAAAATATCTGTTTAAAATCAGGATCCTTACATTTTCTGAACTAGTTCATGATGATTGGGGCTAAAATATTTGCCAAACCAGGTGAAACAAAGTTGACTGTTGAAACATTCTATATGGTTGGCATCTTAGGCTCAGCTAAACAGTGACAAAAAGAACAAATGTGGATACCTTATCTTGCATTCCAATAATTTCTTCACATTCTGAACCTTCCTCTCCTTCAGAGTCAGCCATCTCTTCGCATTCGAACTCTACATTTTCTTCCTCCATTTCTTCATCAGAATCACTCAATTCTTCCTGCTCCATCACTATACCTATATTAGAGTTGTCACCTATCTCATCTATACATCTACTGATATCATCGCCTGGTACTGTTGTCCCATAGACTTCAGATCTATGCTTACAGTAATTTGCAGGATCATGCTGTATTGCACAAATGTTCTGAGCTTCTGAAGTGTTTTCTGCTGAATCGCGACAGAACCCTTTTACCTTAGATGAGCTCGAACTTAGATGGATATCCAAATCTACTGTTTTGGCCTTTCCACCAGAACTAGAAGGTTGTGAGCCTACACCAACTAAACCCACATTGGATGTAGAAGTCTTCTTGACAGAAACAGAAGCATCCTCAAGTTGGCCTGATTTACCTTTGATACCCACTGATAGGCTTGAGGTTCCACCCACATTAGTTGAACTGTTATTTGGATACACCACTCTTTGCAGAAGAGGATGAAAGCCAATGTCACCAGATGCTGCATCATGCCCATCTGATGTCACAACTCTCTGGAGCTGGTCAACCGGAAGATTAACCTGCCTGGGACTGTTAAAAAGACTCAGCAGTTGAGGTCGATGGTCAGAAAAGAAACTAAAGGAACTAGAACCACCAGACTGACTGCTCAAGGAGTAACATGTAAGCTGTCCATTCTCAGGGATCCGGAACAATAAAGGATGCATCTGGAAATCTGAGTCCATGTTACTTATGTCCTCTGCAGCTTCTAACTTGTCTAGCCGCAAATCCGGCACTTCAACATTTGGTGGACAACTTTGATCCTCATTAGCTGAAACACGAGGAGGTTGAGAGCTCAAATTTCCTCTTCCAGAAACATCAAAAATGCCACCTCTGACATTATGCGGTTTAGATGATTCAGGCTGATTCTTTGAGAAAACTGATTGTGAGATTACACGGACAGAAGGTGGAAGATTAACAGGAGGCAATTCCGGTGCTAGTCTCACTACACGTGAATTGTAAAATCTCCGAGCTCGATACGGCCGCAAAATTATTTGCGGTCTTGAGGCACCAGGTGCAGAACCAGATATGGATCGGTCTGGACGCATGAGAGTAGGTGAGAACCTCTGTACATTACCAGCCCGGAGTTGGGCATTATTAGATTCAAGATTTTCTGATCGATCTCCGCTTTGAATTTCCTCTACAGATTTCAGGCTACCATCATGAACATTCTTTTCCTTGTCAAGGGAGTCCAAAGGTCTGGAATAGAAGAGATGTGACACGTCAGGCCTCCAATCGGCTAAAAATCCTTTATGTACATATGCTTCACCCAAATTATCAACGTCTCCAATATTATTTTCATTGTCATTAGTTGCGCCATGATAGTCCTGCAATATTAAATTAAATGAAATAAATACACTACAATACAATATAGTCCGGGAAATACAAAATTAGCGATCAGCAAACTCAGTACAAAGAAAATTCCATGGCGTGTATTTGTCTCTCAGTGAAGGCATAACTACAGCATGATTGAAACATGAAAACATGCAAAAGCAAAGTGAGAGCGCAGCACATGGTAAATTCTACTTAAAATGTGAATGATATCAAATGCCAAACCTTTTTGCCGGTGTACTCTCGAGGATAATAGATTCACTCGTAATCTAGAATGATAAGACATGCAACACAAATGAAAAAATTTCTTCTCATTTCAGGGCTTCAAGGGACTATGGGCATGAACAATTATCATTTGCATCATGCAATGCTACAAATATCAGAACCCAAACCTCATGCACCACAACATCAGAAGATAAAAGGTCAAAGGTTGCATACGATTATTAAAAAAGCAAATAAAAAGACAGACCACCTTGTTAGATACAGGTTGTTCATTTGTCAATGAGGCTCTGGACTTTCTTTTTAGTTCATATAAACGTCGCTTCTCTTTTTTAGCATCGTCTTGCTTGTATGACTTTTGAACACCAAGGGCGATGCGCCACTGCCGAGGCAGCAAGGCTGGATCCCGATGAGGGACAATGAATTTCCACACAGACATCCAATCAAATTTGAAATACTTGAGTCCCTGAAGAATCAAAACTTATACTAAGCATTTTGACTGTTATTACAAATCAGAACTGAAAGATACTGTTCTGGTATTACCTCTTGTATGCGTGATGTCTCTTCTGCAGTCAAAGGAGAACTTTTCATCCTCCTTACTGCCTGGAGTATTCAGAACATATACAAATATCTCGGTTAGGAGAACAATTAACCTCAAACGCTTCTGTGGTTTGAACAACATCTCATCAGGCCAAAAGTAAACAGGAAACCTTATATATTATAAGTCCATGGCTCTCTCAACAACTTCAGTTGAATTATGCATGTTCTCATTCCATGTTACAGTATGGTAATAAAACACGATATACCTCAATTGCACTACATAAGTCACATGATTAAATTACCAAGAATGCTTTTTGGAATACACTAGTGAAATAATAGCGCAAGACAGCAATATCTTTTGCAACAAAAACGTTTTCAGTGTTCATAGCCCAATGGCATCCACCACATAAGGGATAATGGTTCAAATGCAGTCATGAGGTACATAAGGAACGAAAACAAGTAGTAGCCAAGGGAAGAAAGTAAAAATAGAATAATTTTCACACTATAGTTAGCTACAGATTACAGATATATAGTACGTAGAAAAGTAAATGAATGTGAACATGAAGAGCTAAACCAATGAGGCTGTTTACTCACCTTGATTGGATTTTCCAAGGCTTTAGATGAACATCGATTTTTCTGCCTAACAAAAATCTGGAACAATTAAAAGCCAAAAATGTCAGAAGAGATAAGATGGTTATTTGTTAATCATGGTAATGAATAACCGAAAGATAACCTGATGTTTGGATTTGCATGGAAGAAAGCGTTGTTGTATCGCTTTCCAGTCTGAATTACATTCCATTATTCCAAGAGCCAATAATCTGAATCAATATCAAGCACAACACATGACCAATTAATGCAGTGTTGTTGTATCTAGCAACAAAAAGCAAATAGGAAAAAACTTCGATTGCTACAGGAAATAACATATGAAAATGATGCATATAAAGCCAAGCACTACATACATGGAGCAATCGCATACAAACAACAAAATTAGCTATGTATTTTTCACTTTCACTATACAGAAACTAATAAGCAGAAAATCCAGGATTTTCTCCGCCAAAAATAAGAAAATGTAGCTTCTAAACGGGGAAACTTCGGAAATTCTCAAGTGTACCATCTCCACAAAATAAATCATCATACTATCATACAACCAAAGTGAAAAAAGGAAATGAGAAACTCACTCATCCTCAGCATCAGTGAAAAGCACACGATTGGCAACAGCTGCAGGTGGTGGCTTGTGTGGGAAAAGCGACGGATTGAACAAGGAATAGAATCTTTGAGCTAACTTAGCAATATCCTTATGGACCAAAGCAACAGATTGTTTCTTGGCAGATTCAACAAGAGTAGCAGCCAATGTCTTCTTAGGTTGTTGCTGACCGGGTGATGACTGGCCCATAGTGGAAGCTGGAGAACTATTCAGAACTTGACCCCCAACTCCTTGGCATGGAACAGACTGAGAGAGTGGGAACAATGGCACCCTATCAGATGAAGCATCACAACCAGATTCCACTTGACACCGTCGATAATCTCGAACAGCTGAAAGATATTTCATGAATTAAGGCAACCATATAATAACAAATGAGAGAACAAAATGGTAGAGCATGTTACTTTAAACCATTAACATACCACTGGAAACATCATCTAGATATCCACTAGCAAGATCTAACGGAGATACATCGAGAATTGATGTTGAAGGACGAGTGACACAAGAATGTGGCTGACTTTGGCATGAAACTGATTCTTCACGTTTGCAGAGTATCTCGGTTATCAATCCGTGAACTTGGGTTGAAATATGCTGCCGAGATGGATCTAGAACAGAAATAGAGTACACTTGAATAAGAAGTTGCACATGATCAAGTATCAAAGAACGCAGCTGTCCTATCTGGGTTTGAGTGAAGCCGTTAATCAGACTATTTCCTGAAACAATCGTCTCAGAAACAGAATGCCTCCCCACAAAAGGAATTGGTCCGGTCGGTAATATCGGGACAAGAGGGCGCAAGAGTCTTTTTGCCTGATCCGGAGAACTCCTTTTGCGCTGGATGGGGATGTTTTGTTGTCTATTCTGCCTAGTCGCGGGCCGTCGGCTAGTACTACTGTTCTCACTTCTACTGACCTTCTCTGCTACACCTTCCTCGTCATCACTTTCAAGTGCTTCTTCAAGTTCTATCTCAAAGTCTGCATCATTGTCCTCATCATCATCATCACTATTCTCATGCTTTTGTACCAATGAGCCTTCATCATGACCACCAAGTAAAACAGCTGCAAGAAACTTTTGATACTCCTCCTCATCATTAACATTTTGAATGTCATCCTCGTCATCAGTCTCCTGAAGAAAAGCCTCAAGCTCGTCAAGGGTGATACTTGCCAATGAATATCGAGCTCTAGTTCGCATGCAAATAGCATCTTCTTCACTTAAGTTCAGCATCGACTTCTGTGTTCTACTCATGTCACTCATTCCACTTCCATTTTCATTCATCTCCACCATTACATCGACATTACTCTCATTATCTCTTAAATTGTCACCTTCTGTGCAAGACAGAGATTCATAGTTTTTCATCTTACATTTCCTCTGGGCATTTTTTTGAGAGTCCTTATTGCGCGGTTCTTCAGAGGATACGTTACTCTGCACTGCAATTTCCTCTTCTCCATTTCTATCATCTCCTCTACCATCAAGGTTTTGCAAGACACAAGACGGCTTCATTGAGTTAATGCTATCGTTTCCTTGAGTATTATCAGTTTCACCTTCAAAAGCTTCAATTTCAGAGCTCAGACTAGAGGAAGCTGCAGGAGATGGTGTTCCCTTCAGAAACGGATTGAAGTCAACATCTTCATCCTCGTCATATTCCTCTCCTTCATCCTTATTGCCCACTGATCTGGACGGACTCTCACTGGAAAGATAGATGCTGTTTTGCCCATTGTTGCTTGCATTGCCAGTTGATGGCAAGTTAGAACGCGAAGCCATCTCAGCGTCTACCATCAAAACTTAAGATCCAGAATGATGCTCTACACTATAACCCAGCAGTAATATAGCAACACTTTGATCCATTGACTAACTGAAATCAACGCAAGGTAAATAAACATGTCAACAAGACCGTGCATCCCAGTTCCGAAGAGATTTAAGAAGCATACAGAACCAAAAAACTCACGGCGAAAAGCTCAGCATTGTATTCCTCTTCAGTGGCTGACGTTGAATCTTTGTAAGAGCTGAGTTCCTTTATATGAGAAGAAAACACTGGTAAATATGCAAATGCTGCAGATATGAGACGTTACAAACATAATGTATGCAAAGATCTACCATTATACATACCCCATTATCTTTATGCCAGTTTAATCTTTATTTTAAGCTCTCGTTTGATCTTTATACCAGTTTAATGAGCTAGAACACACTCATTATATTTTCTCTCAACCTGACACAGCAAGGAACAATAAGAGTTACCTTATTTTTCCAAGTGACAAGAAACAAAATAAATGTATGCATGAACTGGGGACAATGTCTCACCTCTACAAGCTTTGCTGACATTTCAGCCTCAAGATCAGAGTACCTTCTATGTAGCTCAGAGTAACTATCAACTTTGGTTGCCAACTCTTCACCAAGCAATTTGTTATGCCTTTCAATAAGTTCTTTCTCCTGCTTCCATAAAAAAACAACATGCCATAAACCTCAAAAGGATTAACATATGCTAATTCATATCGAGAGAGAATAAACGGGTCCATAAATATTGAGATGGGTCCTCAAGAAAAAAAAAACAAAGGAACCTAGAAAACTGTGGTCAAATGAGAACAACAATGGAGGATATTCTGTGGTTATGCAGTTGCTTGTGGCTGGTGGAGGAATGTATGTAGAAGTGTTCAACAGAGGAGTGATTCCAAGAAAGAAGACCAGAGAAACAAGCACTTAGTTTGTGGACGAAATACACCTCCTTTGCACTTACTTCACCAAACCAGAATCAATAATACCACTCGATGCTGATATAAGCTTCCCAATTCTAAACCACAAAAAACTTTCGGGGTCGACAGAAATCGAACGTAATGGCAGAAATCAACGTCAGAAGATGCAACGGACAGAAACCGGCGCTTACCATAAATCTCCTAAAACATCGAAACCCTAACTCGCCGAAATAAAAAGTCGAAATCCAAATCCAAATACAAATACAAATCAGAATCCGATGCCCTAACCCACCAAAACCTGAGAGCGAGAGAGAGAAACCTGAGGCGAATCCTATGGACGAACGGCGAAGGAGACAGAGACGTTGACCGGTGTAACGGTGACGGTGAGGGGCGAATCGAGGTGAATGTGAACAAGAGATAATTTCTTGTCGTCGTCGAAGGACGGAGGAGCCGAAGAGAAGAAGAAGAAGGGAAAGTGAACAAGAAAAGAGGAAAGAGAAAGGTCAGGTTCTTTTTATTGTTTATTTAATTATTGGCCCTCTAATAAGTAATAATTTCCCATTGATTAGTTTATAAACCTCGGAAACGGCATCGTATGACCCAAAACGACATCTTTTAGTTAGGGTGGACACGCGCATACCCGGACTTATTGGAGTATCCTCGCCTCGGCCTCGATCCCGATCTCGATCTCGATCTCGTCCGATTTTTTATCGAAATGTCCCGATCCCTACCTCACGAAACCCGGGTACCCGCAACCAAAAAAAATCCAATGGTCACAACAGATTAAAGTCTTAAGCAACCCACAAAAAAAGGATTGATCTTTACAACACTTGATTCAATCACCTCTTTGGTCACAATGCAGAGCCTACCACCATCGGCCATTCCATGTTCGACGAAAGTGTTAGCAGCGTACCCTTCAGCTTTGCCTCCACCTACAATCACAAACACATAAGGTTGCGTATTTCATATTTATACAAGCCTCGAAAATCGAAAACAGAAGCAGCAACTAGCTCGACAGAAAAATCGAAATCGAATACCTGAGAGAAGATGAGAGAGATCGAAATGGAACCTGAGAGAGGTTGAGAGTTGGAGAGACCCAACGGTCGAGACTGACAAGCACGGGCGAGTACTACCAAACGTGAAGTGAACACGGTTGATGTCAGAGAGACCGAACGGCAGACACGGCGAACAGAGACTCGCAAGGCGGAGACGGAGAGACGGAAGGCGAACAGCGAACACGGCGGAGATCGATTTTCCTTCTGCCGAAGAGGAGGCCGCAAAACGCAAATGAGAGAGCGGATGGGTTAACTCAGCTACTTAGTAAATTAGAATCGGGGGTATTTTTGTAAGCCTATTAAAAAATCAAAGGCATTTTTGTAATTTTATAATTTACCGGTACCCGCGAAAAAAACCGTGATGAAATTCTCGAATCCGAACCCGAAATCAGGGTTTTTCGACTCATGGAACCCGATATCTATCATATTATCCCACAGATAATGAATTCCAGATACTGCGAGATAGGATAGTCGAAAATCTGCGGATCTCGAATAGAAATGTCCACCCCTACCTACTTTTCGTCTTCTGCCGTGAAGAAAGCCTCCGTAGGCTCCTACATCTTCATCACCCACGACTCGGACGATCTTGACACGGTGCTCCCCCAACTCAGCTCGACTCAAGTAGATCAGCCCAGCAAGTTAGCCCTCGACTGCGAGCCATTGCCATTGAGACAAAGTCCTTTGCTTTCATCAAGATATTTCATAAAGCATCATACTTTGAAAAGTTCAGTTCCTCCTAAGAGACTTAACCACAAATACAATGCATCTGAACTCAGTTTCATATGTTCCTGTGAACGACCAGACAAAACCCTCACTCTCATCAAATTCAGACACAGAGGAACAAGAACCAGCGAGATCACGTGCTTCAGTTCATGTCCAGATCGCCCAGGATGATCTTCTTCGTCTTCCGGCACGACAATACTCATGTTCTCCGCTTGATCAATTGGTCGGAAAGAGCTTCCCTTCTGGCTGTGTGCTCCCGCTTCTCATCATCGCACAGAATTCTTCATAGTTTATCCTTCCATCCTGCAACAGAATTCATGATCACGAGGTCGGTATCATGCATTTGATACGATCAAATTCATTCAGTTAGATGCAGATCTCAGACGAAATAAACCGGAACCACGCAAAAAGGGTGACTTCTTACATTATCTGTATCAACCTCTGCTATCACTTCTCTGATGCTAGCTTCATCCCCCATACCATACTCTTTCATGGCCGTCTCCAGTTCATCCCTCGTGATATACCTGCGTTCGCAAATTCACAGTCTGAGATTCTCCCCCGAGAACATATATGGACATGACTGGTGGTAACGCAATCGCCCGTAAACACATCGATTACAACTTATGACAATTGCGGATGATTGTAAAAGTGATTGGTACCATCGCAATCACCGCAATTACAATTGCGTTAATACCAGGCAGCACCATAACAGTATACGATGAGGTTGAATCCATCATATTCCTACATTTTCCGGCCTCCATTTCTTTCTAGTTCCTTCTTTCTGATCTATCTCTTCTTCCAAACTTTAACAACCAGGGTTGTTTAGAGAAAATATACAGGTGGCTCTATGATCAGATATAGTATATCGATGGACCGAGATTGATTCTCCAACTCGATGAAGACTAACTGCGCATGAAAATCACAAAAGCACGTACCCGCTATTGTCCTTGTCGAAATATTGGAACGCTTTGTACAAGTGGTCATCTCGCTCCATTCGGTATCTATGCGTAGTTGCTGAGATAAACTCGATGTAATCTATTGTTCCATTACCATCTACATCCGCCTGAAAAAACATTTTCAAAGATGTAAGTTTCGGGTTTTCTCCCTTTCGCGAGTAAAATACAAAAGGAATTAAGGAGGAGAAAAATGGATACTCACGGCTTCCATGAGTTGTTTAACCTCAGATTCCGAGAGTTTAGATCCCAATCTCGCCAACCCGGTTTTAAGTTCTTCATAAGTGATCGTTCCACTTTTGTCGGTATCCATGTTTGCAAACATCGTCTTAAGCCCTTTGATTTCCTCTTCCGACATGTTCTCCGCGATGACCTGGAAAGAGACCCGCAAAAAACGTAAGACAGAAAAACAAGAAAACGTGACCTCGATCGAATGATAAACATATTTACGGAGTTGAGCTACAAAAAACTCGGTTTTTTGCTTTAGGGTTTGTGATAACAAGATAACCTTCAGACAAAGATGCATACTGTTGGTGTTTCTGTTCTGAAAACAACAAAAGAACAAAAGATTGTTACTACTGCTTCTTCACCTTGAGGGCAAGTTTCTTAAGCTTGTTCATTGCTCTGAATTGCTTCATACGGGACAAGACAGCGCTATCAATAGGCTTGTCCGGCGCTTCTCCGCCTTTAATCCACGGGTGTTCTGGAAATTACAGGAATCACATCAATCTATTACTTACACATTTGAAAGTTATAGATCACAACAGAAATTTACACTAACATTTCAGACAGAACAAGGGCAAGAACATACTTCAAGATTCACCATCTCAGTAGTAAACCAAAGCTCATTTCTTGTTGAAGTTTTCATGAGACAGAAACAGAAAACATGCAATTTTTTCCCAAGTGGTAACTACTCGGAGAAATGGTAGATCGATGAATACAAATGGACCGTCATCGTTATCATTGGCGATGGCTGTAGAATAAAATTTAGAAAGAGAATTGCTTTACCAAGGACCTGCGAAGCAGTTATACGTTTCTTCGGGTTCTTGGTGAGCATCTTACGGACGAGGTCTTTCGCGCTCTCGGATATAGATGGCCAAGGTTGGCTCTCAAAGTCGATTTCGCCTTTTATAATCTCGTCGAATATCCCTTTCTCGGTTTCTACAAACACAAATCACATAATCACGAATTCAACAACCCTCCAAGAAGCAAACAAGAGAGAGGTAATAGATGGGCTTTAGCGTTTAAAATACCAGCCCAGAAAGGAGGAACACCGCTGAGGAGAGTGTACAAAATAACTCCTGCACTCCACATATCGATTTCCTTCCCGTAACTGCGCCTCAATACCTCCGGGGCTACATAGTAAGCGCTACCGACTATATCCCGGTATACTTTTCCTGCGTTTATAAGATATAGAAGGAGTCATATACACAAATTCACAATCAGTATACATGTTTATGAGATCAGATGCATACTTTATACTGTTTCAAACCTGAAATCTAGAAAAACAGAGAACATTGTAGCAGAGAGGAAGAAATTATCACCAGAACACAGAGATGAACTCTTAACAAAGAGAGAACAGTCTGGTTCCTACAAAAGAAAAGCTTATCTCCTCTCTCTTTTCTCCCGACAAGCATTCAGGGAATCAATAACCCATATCGAAATTTCGAATCTTTTGACAAACCAAAGAACAGGAGACTTTCCCAATTAAGGATCAAAAGTGTTGTAAGCATATGTTCCAAAAAGCTTGCAACTTGATTAGGTAGTGAGAATCTCAAGAGCTCACCTTCTTCGATGTAGACTGACAACCCGAAATCAGTAGCTTTAAGCATAGAGTTTTCATCTTTGCTAGAGAGCAAGAAATTCTCTGGCTTGAGATCTCTATGCATCACCCCCATGAAATGGCAAATCTGTACAACATTCACAATCGACCTAATGATTCCTGCCGCTGCTCTCTCCGAGTAATGCCCCTGAGCTATGATCCTATCGAACAACTCTCCCCCTTCGCATAGTTCCATCACGAGGTGTACGGACCTTTGATCCTCGTAAGCGCCCTTGATCTCTACTATGTTGGGCTGTCCTGACAAGTACTGCATTATCTGAATCTCCCTCTTCACATCATCTCTGTCTTGTCTGCTCGTTAGCTTCCGCTTGAGTATGGATTTGCAGGCGTAAGTGTTACCTGTGGAATTCTCCTTGCATCTGTATGTTATTCCGAATTGGCCACGACCCAGTTCTTTTCCAAGGGTGTAGAACTTCCTGATGTCTTCGAAGGGCTTCCCCAGTATGGTTTCTGGTTCTCGGACAGCGACGGGCTTCGACGGTGTCGGAGCCTGATGAGGGGTTGGGTGATTCGTGGGATTCGGCTGAGATTTCGTCTGCTGCGCCTGGTGATTCTGATGAATGGACGGTTTCCGAGGCTCGGGGACGTGATGGACGACATGGGATTGCGTTGGGTTGGCCGGAACTGACCCCTGTCCGCCATTGTTGCCCGCTTGAGCTCTCCGGTGTTTGCTGCTGAAGCAACCCATGTCTGAAAGTTTTCAGAGAGTTTGGTAGGGCATACGAGTTGAAGAAGACGAAGTTCCGAGCGATCGGATCGAGGGTTTCGAGATTTGGGGACTGGATTTTGTGGGAGGAACATGGAGTTGTGCTTGGTTGACTTGGCTTAACCTGTCAGGGTCTGCACAAAAAAAGCAATAGAGAATGCGATTTTCCCGTCATTTTCTCTTTTGATTTTTCCTTCCCTTATTTTTCATTTCAAAATCGGCGGATTATGCTATACGAACTTATTTATAATCTCTAAGTTTCTAACCATTGAATATTCATCAAATCTAACCTTCACACTTTCAATATAAACCATGGTGGCAATATATATGTATGTATGTATGTATGTATGTATATTTTTATATATACGTGCATATACGACACGATCTGCAAATTAACTATACGATGAGTCTATACTTATATATACAACGAAACTTGTCGGTGAATTTAATTTAATGTGAATTTGGACGTTGATTTTGTTGTCCGAACATTTATTGTGTGTCGTAAGAAGAACAGGAGAAGAAGATGTGACACACTCTCGTGGTGTAAATGTTCCTATTTTATCCTATTGTTTAGTCAGAAAACATTAGCCCTCCTAGCTCGTTATATAATAATATTATAAATTTTACATTGTTACTTCATATTTGTTTATTTACATACGTGCGGTCGGTGTCTATATCTGTGCGTATGTGGGTATATGATGTGCACAAAATCATTTTGACTATATATATATATATATATATATATATGTTGGTTTAACATTGTTATACCTTATTAACAAAAAATAAACATTATTATTGCCTTCCTATATATTACTTATACGTATTATTAGTATATGTGGATAATTCAATAGCACACCGATCTAATTGGAAATTTATTAAAATGACGTGCGGATGTCATAAAAGATTCATAATCTATATAAAAACTAACACTAACTATCCAATAGTGGTGAATGTCCTTATTTCGATTTCACTACCAAAAAAATGTAATTTCTAAACCAAAATAGTTCATATACATGGTCACCATCCTCGTTATCCCAAAACAAAAATATCATCATTATTGATTAGAATTTGGATGGATTGATGATGTTGTAATTTATTAATTTAAATCGTTGCATTTCTTTTAAACCATATTTTATTTCATTACTTATACAGAGAATTACTGCATGGACTCTATATTATTAGTTTCTGTAATTGTTACATTTCATTATCCCTCTTAGCGTTCTTAGGGTTCCCGCCGGTCATATTTATAATGGGCTTATCAAGTAGGCCCTTTAGAAAATATCGGGCCTAATCCATATTCCAACTGCATATACTTGAGGCCCATTTTCTATATAGGTTCGGATGTTTGAGTTCAAAATTATATGTTCTAATCTGAAGGGTGTTATAGATATAAATATGCCGTCATTTAGGTTATTAAAAAATATTCATATAAAATATAGATTTTTACGTAAATATAATTTTATCTAGAGATTGAATGAAAGAGGTTTTTGGGTTTTTAAAATCTAAAAAACCAACAAAAAAAATTGACAAGATTTTATAAATTTGTTTTCGTAAAAACTTGTAAACCCATTTTAGTGAAATAATTAGCTAAAAAAACTCCATTTTTTTGGACTTACGAAAACCAAAAAACAAATATTAAACCCAAAAATTCAAAATAAAAATTGTCACCATTCAAAACCCTAGTAATAATAACATATACCATTACACAACAAATCCTAATATTTAGTCATTGGACCATAAACGCTAAGAAACTGTATTTTTCAGTAATAAAAAAAATAGGTGAATTATACACACGTTATAATCAATTAATAATGCATAAACATAAAAAGACAAATGCGGTTCTTAATTTGAACACGTGTTTTCAAATATAAACGTATATATAAAATAAATAAAAAATTGGGAGTTGTGGGAATATTAATCTAATTCGGGCACGTGAGCTTGAAGAAACAAAACAAAAGTCGACGTCAACGTGAGATTCCCTTCTCATGCATTTGTTCACACCTTTTTTTTTATAATTAAGCCTAATTATTTCACACTTTCCTCTCTGAATATTTTAACTTTCATGCACGGATTACCTAACCACACACGCCATTTGAATAATTCTCTTTCCAATAACATAATTATGCAATTATTGTCCTCAATAATTTTTCCTAATCCATATTTTAACACATACATGTAAATTTTTTATTACTTATAAATAATTAACTCTATAAGATAAATATTTTTATATTTTAATTCGATTATCTTTAGACTTATTTTTTGGGGTTTTGTAGATTTTTTTGGTTTCTAGTTTTTATATGGTTCCGAATTATTTCAATTGTTATTAAACAATATTTGGATTTTTGTTTTTTCAAATTTCTTTTATTATATTCATGTTTAGTCAAAGTCCGATAAATTTATTTTTAAAAATAATATCCGACAGATGTTTATATTTGATTTGAATACTATTATATATAATATAATATTTGATTAGATTCAATTTTATTCTGGTTTATTAAGTCTATGATGATTTATATGAGTTTGAGAATAATTCTTTTGGTTCTATAATATGTTAAGGTTTTGAAACGCCGCAAAACATTTTCATAAGAGATATATCATATTTTATGAGAAAACATGGGACCTTCATGGACCTAATCTATTTTATTCAAAATAAAATAATAGTGTAATGTGAGATTATATGCTAAAAAATTTGGAAAGGGGAGTGATTTCAACCAACAAAAATGTTTGCTTTAACTTGTAGTCTTTGGAGGCACACGGCCGACACATTGGACAACCAATACACACAAGTAACTCCATATCAACCAAATAATATATATATATATATATATATATATATATATATTCACATATACACACAAAATAATAAAATCAACTAATTGTTTTATATAGAGGCTTCTAAATCATTCATCCAATATTTTATTCTGTTGTTTTTATTAATTGTAAGAATAGCTAATAATGCTTCACAATAATTAAAAAGATTAAAATTATAGAAAAAAAACTTATTATGCCAATATATTAGGTTAGATACATATGCATAAAAGCATGTGTACTATTCTCGGGGGAAGAAGAGAGGAAGTGTGAGAACTTTGGTCAACTAATTACAACTTGCCTCGACGGAGAAATTCCACGTAAGACCAAGCAAATCTTATCCACCCGACATGGCCGTACGCACATATAATTTACTTTTTATTTTTCTCTTTTAATTTTGTCTCTTATAAATATCCAAGAACCCTCTCTCTTCCCGAATCTTCACAATTCCCACAAGATATAAGTGCAACCCCGGAGAGAGATAGAGAGAGAGAGGGAGAGAGATTTAGTAACAAAGAAAAAAACATGGGGAACTGTGTTTGCATGAGACAGCAAGCGACGAAGACGTGGTCGGGAGACGAGTGGGGATCATTTTCGTCAAAGCACAAGTTCAGAAGATCATCCACGGCGTTCGACGACGACGACGACGGAGAGGGACTGCTCGACGGAGCGGGATGCGTGACGTCATCTTTTTCCGGCGGCTCGTCGTCGTCGTCTTCGCATGAGATAAAGATAAGGATGACGAAGAAAGACTTGGAGGAGCTGATGAAACGCATTAGCGTGAAGGGTTTGACTGCGGAGGAAATTCTCGCCAAGCTGCTAACGGACGGCGGAGATCAGTTCTCGTCGGAGAATCAACGGTCATGGCGGCCTGCGCTGCAGAGTATTCCCGAGGACGATGATTAGTTTTATTATTTTTTTGGTTTTTCTTTCGTGGGAACTAAGCTGACCGATGTGTGTCTTAAGTTGACCCATCTGCTTACGCAAGCTTGTTTTTTTGTTTGTCTTTTTTTTTTTTTTTTTATAGGAACATGTAATTAAATTTGGATGCTGTTGTAAGTTTTTTTAGAAGTTCATGTTGGTAAGGAGTGGAATTATTATAAATTATAATATACAATATACCACCGGTTTAGATTGGTTTGGTTTGGTTTATTTACATTTTATTAGAAAATGTAATCTTAATACTTGTTCTTCGTTAATCAGTAACAAAACACGAATGAAATTTAATCAGGAACAAATATTTTAATTTCCTTCTTCTTGATTTATGAGGAACAAATGTTTATACAACTCTTTATAATAAACCGAATTAAATTGACCGTATATTCTAAAAAAAATAACAATAAAAATAAGATGAAAACAAATCAAGTTTTTTTTAGATGTTCATGTTGTTATCCGCACACAATCCACACAACGAAGGATTCTCACAATTTGGGCCTTCTTACGGGCCTTAATTGGGCCCTAGAAAATTGTCTTCCATCTTTGCGTAAGCCCAAAAGAAAGATTCGTATAGTTCAACGCACAAAATAAAATATGAGTTAAATACAAAAGCTTTGTCCGGTTTAGCGACGGTTTAGTGGTTTTTCCGGTTTAGATAATTAATTAGTGTGCACGTTCGAGACTCTGTGTTTGTAAACTTAGTATTGATCTAACATTCTCTCTTTCTCTTCTTCCTTTTGTGTTCGACAAATTTTAGCGAATAAAAAGTATAGTTAATAATTATTTCCGGGCCGACAAATTATATATAAAGGAAATAATCTTTTTCAATGAAGCAAAATCAAACTTTACATATTCTTTTTAGGGTTTATACAAAATGTGAAATCTTTTCCCTTTTCGGACCAATTTCAGATTTTCATTCCATCTTAATATTTTTTTGGCAATGGTGAATATAGATGACGAAAGCATTGGGACCCAAAAAGAGTATAAAGGTTTGGTGGTGGAATTACATTTTTATTTTTTATTTTTATTTTAAATTTAACACATCATTAGTTATAGATAGGGAGAGGCTTTGGCATTTTTGAGGAAACGAACGTAAATTTCTCCACCACCAAACCTTATACTATTTTTGGTGCGCGGGCGCCTTATACTAGAGATAACTTTATATCGTATGCGTTATTGGTGATATATTTATTTCAATTGCATAATCATTTATGATTTAGTAATAATAAATTTGCATGTTGTCATTGCCCTTTTTTTTAAGAAAAAAATTGTTTCTTTTGATTCTAATTACTGATCTTTGATTGAATATAATAAAATTTAGTTGAATGAGATTTTAATTGATTATTTTTTGTCTAATTTTATTTTTTGGTGGGATTTCATTATCCTCTTTTAGCTAGAGAAAGAAATCCCGCTAAAAAAAACTAAATCGTATTCAATTAAATTTCGTTATATTCAAATAAAATAATCGGTCACAGTTACTATTACGTATGTTATGGCCAATGATTGAAATGAAAAACATATAAAAATTTGTGGCTGTGAGAATTATATGTATGCATACACACATACTTTTGACAGCACCTGTGTCATGTAGGATATAAAACTCGTGGATTGTTTGTGAGGCAACACATATTTTTCGAGCTGAGTTTAAAAATATTTGAGTTTAGAAAAAAGCGGGCCGAGCCATTTTTTAAAATTTTTTAATGTATTTTTATATTTTTTATATAAAAAAATTGTATTTTATCATATATTTGGTTTGTTTTGTTTAAAATTTTAATTTTTTTTATTATAGTTATAATTTTAAAATATTTATAATAGTTTTAAATATTTTTTATATTTAAATTTTAATATATATATATGTATATATATATATATATATATTTGACTCGTGAAACGACTTATTTGGCTCGCGAGTTAACGCGATTTAGGTCACACTGATCAATTTTTAGTTCGCTAAAAAATGAGTTGAATTGAGTTGGATTAAAATATTTTAAAATCGAAATGAGTCGAATTGAGTTGGACCGAGTCGGGCGTGGTACACCACTAATCTCATGATGGATTGTATGAAAAATGATTCCACTATATAATTGAGAACAATTGCTTAAAAAAAGAACATTGAATGAATCTTAGTTATTTATTTATTTTCGTTATGATATTATATTCCATCTCTGATATGGATTCTACATGCGATTAGTTATCGAGAGAAAGAGTAAATGGACAACGGCTTATCTGATTCAATTCACTAGTAGATGTTCTTTTTACTCACATATTTTGTTTGTATTTTCTTTCATTAATTTATTTGGTTTTAAATATATATATATACACACATATATATATATACTGCGATATATATACATATATATAGAGAGAGAGAGACCTGGTTTCCATTTTTTATTTTTCACTTTATAAGGTAGATATAAATTTGTTCAACAGTTTAGTTCATTTTTAAAAACCAACTTAAACCAATTGGTTTTTGAGGATTCATACCATTTGATTTTATTTTTAAAAAGCCAAAGGAAATCAAATCTTGAATCTAAAGTTTGGTACGATTTGGTTTCAATTTCTATTTCTACTTTTATGTTTATCTTTAACAAACCAAAATCTATGCATTTATTAATGAATATCTTGGTTGTTACATGATATATATATTCCTGAGATGAGATGAGAAAAGTTTTTCGTCAATTGAACTCCTAAAAGCAACGTTACGTAAAATAAAATGAATAAATATATGACCCTATATTTACTCCTTACATTTCACATATATAACATTATTTTAAAGAAGAGAAAAAACCCTAAAAATTTCTAAACTTGTAATTTGGAGTAATATTAATTCCTAAACTTGTAAAGGTGTCTATTAATTCACAAACTTGCAAAATTGAACACATTAAATCCTAAACTTGTTAAACGGTTCAATAATCGTTCATAACACTATTTGGTCAAAAAAACGAGTTGACCGATTTGACATGGCGTGTGACATGGCGGTAAATTTCTGAGTTGGCTCGCCACGTCACGCGCCACGTCGGATCGGTCATTTTTTTATTACCAAATAGTGATATGAACGATTATAGAACCGTTTAACAAGTTCAGGATTTAAATAACGCTATGGACGAATATGGAACCGTTTAACAAGTTCAGGATTTAACGTGTTCAATTTTGCAAGTTTGGGAATTAATAGACATCTCTACAAGTTTAGGAATTAATATTACTCCAAAATATAAGTTCAGAAATTTGTAGGATGTTATAAAAAGAAAAAATAAACCTAAATTTAGAAAAATATCTTATATTTATTCTTTTAAAAAATATTACTCCAATAAAATATTTTAGACATAATTACTATACATTATTATTATTAAAGAAATAATTATAAAATTAATCACACTTTAAAATTTAATTTTATTACAAGCTTATTATTAATTCAAATTCAACTTTAAATCTTTAAATTAATATTATATTTGCTAAAATATTAAAATTGACCATATTTATAATAAAAACTATAAATTTATGAATTCATTTAAAAAAATATTATTGTATATTATCATTAATATACAAAAATATTTAAAAATCCATGTATTATTGTTAAATATTTTTTATTATGTAAATTAGTATTTCTTAAAATCATTAAATAAATTTTAAATTAATATTTTTATATATAAATTTATAATTTTTATAATATTAAATAAAAATTATTATATAAATTATAATTTTGATTAATTAAATTTTATAGATGAACAAGGTCCAAGAAAAGTTTGAGACAGTTCTGGGTAAATATAATATTGAAAAATGACAATTTTCCTATACAGTTGATTGTTGATAATATAAATGTACTTTGTTTTCGTTCACACAGTGCCATAAATATAATATATATATATATATATATATATATATTAGTTATTCTAGATTACCCCGCAGATTTTGCACGTGCTGGAATTAGAAGTTAGTTAAAATCCAAACCACGCTAACCAAAATAACATGCCTAAAGTCATCACGCTCCTTGCAAGTTCCAACTTCTCTCGAACTTCCATGTTTACTTACACATAAATAGACAAAATAAAATAAAATAAAAACCTCTTACGTTTCTTTCCTCCATTTTCCAGCTCCAAAGAAGATCTTTTGGTATTTCTCCATCTTTGAAAAAATTACCAAAAAGCCCCATGATTTTCTTGTTCTTATCCCATTTCCCCATACAAGTTAAAAATTCACCGTAAACCCCAAAAAAGAGAAGTAATCTGTAAATAGTATAAAATCTTTGTATATTATATTTATATTACCCTTTGACCATTCGTTCATCTGGAAAACTTGGAGATTTCATTACTATCTTCATTTTTTTTTCTCCGACCCACTAAACCAAATGGAGGGTTCGAACACGGTGACCGCCGCCGCCGGCGATGCAACCGATCTCCACCGTCCGTTCCTCGAAGATCGGACGGTGGGGAAGCCTCCTCCGCCGCCCGACGTGGAGCTAGAGACCGTCCTCACGGACACGACCGTGCCGTACGTGAGGCGCGTGTACGTAGGCGCGTGGATAGAGATGAGGCTTCTCTTCCACCTGGCCGTGCCGGCGATTCTGGTGTATGTGGTGAACCAAGGAATGTCTCTGTCCACTCGCATCTTCGCCGGCCACGTCAGCGGCTTGGATCTCGCCGCTGCCTCCCTCGGCAACAGTGCTTTCAGCCTCGTCTACGGCCTTATGGTACGTATATTTTCATCCATACATACGTAAATTTATACATATATTTATTTATTTATTTATTTATATTATACGTTCATATTAATCATTTTACTATTTAAAGTTCTGAACTTTACGACGATAAGTAGTAAAGTTTACTGGGAAAGCTGAACACCACTGGCCATGCGTTTTCTTGAATAAAATAAAAAATACATTTTTCTTCTTTATTCCATCAGAATAAAATTTTATGTTATAATGGGTATTATTTACTTACAGAAATGGGCCATAAAAACAATTTATTTGGGAGAAAAGCCAAAATTAATCACTTAGATATCATATGTAAACTAATTGGTTATACGGAAAATTAACGAAATCAGATTAAATAATAACTATTAAGCATGACAATAAAAGGCCATGTGCACATACAACAGAGGCAATTTCATATATTGATATGTAATTGGGTGTATGTGTATGTACTGATCTTGTGTTTGTGGGCTACAGTTGGGCATGGGAAGTGCAGTGGAAACACTTTGTGGACAGGCGTATGGGGCCCAGCGATACGAGATGCTAGGGATCTATCTCCAGAGATCGACGGTTGTCCTCGCTCTGGTGGGTTTGCCCATGACACTACTCTACACCTTCTCGTACCCGATCCTAATCCTCCTCGGAGAGCCCAAAACGGTGTCGTCTAAATCCGCTTCTTACATCGCCGGTTTAATCCCCCAAATCTTCGCCTACGCCGTCAACTTTCCCGCGCAGAAGTTCCTCCAGGCGCAAAGCGTGGTGGCTCCGAGCGCGTGGATCTCAGGCGCCGCCCTCCTCCTCCAACTCCTGCTGACGTGGACGGCGGTCTACAAGCTCGGGCTCGGCCTCATGGGCATTGCCTCCGTCCTCACGCTCTCGTGGTGGGTCATCGTCGCGGCTCAGTCGCTGTACATTCTGCTGAGTCACCGGTTCAGAGACACGTGGAACGGTCTGAACTGGAGGGCGTTCCAAGGTCTGTGGAGCTTCTTCAAGCTCTCGGCTGGTTCCGCCGTCATGATCTGTCTGGAGATGTGGTATTCCCAGATTCTTGTTCTCCTCGCCGGTCTCCTCAAGAACCCTGCCCTGTCTCTGGATTCTCTCTCCATCTGGTAAACATTATACTTCCTCGGATTCCATATTAATCTCCATTTCATTGTTGATTCACATATTTCAAGATTCACACTATATGTAAAAATATTAAGCATCTTCTTCCATTTGGCAGTATGTCGATTTCTGCAGTATCATTCATGGTTTCCGTCGGATTCAATGCAGCGGCGAGGTTAGTAGTAAACTCATTGAAGGACAAAAGGGCATAAACAGATTCGAAAATTCCAATTTTCAACGCATTTCTACGACGTTTTCATACAAATTCTCTTGTGAAAACATCTGCAGTGTACGGACAAGTAACGAGCTCGGGGCCGGGAATCCGAAATCAGCGGCGTTTTCGACGTGCGTCGTGACGATTGTCTCGCTAGTAACCTCCATAATCGAAGCCCTCGCCGTGATGGCGGCTCGAGATTCTGTCAGCTACGTTTTCACGGCCGACGCGGCGGTGGCCGAATCCGTCTCGGAGCTCTGTCCTTACCTTGCCATCACCATTGTTCTCAATGGTATCCAGCCTGTCCTATCCGGTTAGTACACAAATTTACAGCAAACCGGGCTTAAACTTGGGTTATGTGCTTAGGGTTTTCTCTTTCCTGGTTTTCATGCGTGTCGTCTAGTTGTTTTAGAGTTAGTTTCGGTCTCCACACCACCATGCACTATAGTTTGTCTTCATGCCACTATATATATATATATATGTGAATATTTAAATATGTAATGGACCAACGTGAATAATGGTAAATGCGAAATTGGATAAATAAATTGAGCAGGAGTGGCAGTGGGGTGCGGATGGCAGGCTTTTGTAGCGTACGTGAACGTGGGGTGTTACTACTTCGTCGGAATTCCACTTGGTTGTGTTCTGGGCTTCGCTTTCAAATTCGATGCCAAGGTCCATACCATTTCCACAAATCTCTCTCTCTATCCAATTTTGCATTCATTTATTTATTCCAAACCTTATAATAAACTTTTTAATATTTGTGGCTCCTACTAGTAGTAATGATTGGATATCTTTAAAAACCTCGACTTGTAGGGAATATGGACGGGGATGATCGGAGGTACCCTCATGCAGACAATCATCTTATTGTATGTAACATTTCGAACAGATTGGGACAAAGAGGTAAAAATCTATACAAGACGTCATATGTATATATATATATGAATCTAATTTTGGCGAACATTATGCGTCGATAAATTGGCTATGCGTATGAATACGATATCGTTGGCAAGCTTTCTCAGCATTTGATCGTTTATTTTTTTGGGTTTTTAGATCGACAAAGCGAGAAGACGATTAGATATGTGGGAAGAGAAGAAAGATTTAATTGTGAACTAGTAAGTTAAATCCATTTTCATGAATCAATATATGTTCATTGTTTTGTGTAGTATTTCTCTTATTATTGTTTATATGACATGAGAATGGTAAATACTGATTATAACTTTTTTTTTTTACGAATTGTAGAGGACAAAGAGGTTACCTACGATGTTTTTTTTTTTCATCGTCCGATAATACTCTCCATACAAGAGGAATTGTTTTTTGTTTTTTTTTTTTTCGGGGGTTTAATAATTTTCAAAGAGTATGAAATTTAAATTATGTTATATGAGTTGCACCAATCTTTTTTTTATAACCAATATGGTTTTCTGGATCTCTGACCCGACTATATCCACTCTAGGTCCGGGACTACTCTTTGTATATATACCATTTTAGTCCAGAAATTACATCTCTCCCTATTAATGAAATTGAATTCATGACGTTGAGGATGATTTTGTTATCTCTTGGACCACAAATTGTTGGGTGATTTGCACCAATCTTTATGTATCTATTACATATCTATTACGGCATAATTGTCAAGATATCACATGATTCATCAAAAATATCATTTCCAACCCAAAGTATACACACATTATAACACATTTTTTTCAAATAAAAAAATCGTAACGAAAACATATAGAAAACCTCTTTTTTAGGTAGACATGGAGCATAGAGAGTGTTCACACGAACATCATATATATATATATATATATATTGGGTAGATATATCAAGATCGTTCAACGTTTATATATATATATATATATATATATATATATATATATATATCGGACCAACTAAAAACGGCGGTGAACCTGAAACGGTGAGAAAATATATCACCGTGAATACGACATGATACAGAAGACGAATCTACGATTCAGTTTGGACAAACAGGATCTAAAGAGCTCTCTATGTGTATATATATATATATATATATATATATATATATATATATATCGGACCAACGTGAATAATGAGGAAGCGAAATTGGATAGATATATCGAGGAGTGGCTGTAGGATGTGGATGGGGAAACGTGTGGCGGCGTATATGTAACTGGGTTGTTACAATATTGTTTGTATTACTCTTCATTGTGATCTCGGCTTCGCTTTCAGATTCGATTCCAAAGCACATAATTTTTTTATGTTTTCTTTTTTCTATTTTTTTTAAAATATCTAAAAAATTTAAAACGATATCTATTAAATAACAACAATATTCTCCAAAATTTCATCTATTTAGAGGAGGGACTAATACATAATTTTATTCGAATCAAATTATATAAAAAAACTCCAATTAGATATGACTTTTTTTAAAATCAAATTTAATCTAGAAATAATCCAAAAAATAACAATGGTTAATATATATATATATATATATATATTTATATATATATATATATTTATATGTTAACAACCAGTTCATTTTAAAAAAATCTAGACAAAAACATATGAAAACCTCTTCTTTTACGGTGAAATCTGGAGTTGTATTCGCGGTTGGTTTCATTGAAAACCCATAATTGGTTTACTTAATATGATATTACTCTATTGACTTAATTAATAGAAGAATGGGTTGCGTTTTTCAATGATTTTATGATTTAAATAATTTTATAGCTGCATATTGATCCGGCAAGTCGGCAGGAAAATCCAAAAAAAAAAAAATTAAATACGAATTATACTCTAAATATTTACCCTTGCATATTATTATATAATATAGATAATGTTTCTACAAATTGGGATTAAAACGATTGATTATAATAATTTAAAATTAAACCTGAATGCGGATGGAGTAGATTTTGAACACGTGCACCTGTCTGTCCATTCGATCGCCTCCAGAGTTAAAACTCAGTCTTGTCTTCTTAAAAACTGTACTTCGAAATATCTAGTAGTTCACTGTTTTTTTTTTTTAACATTGGATATGCATATGGTTACAGACGACGAAATGACAACATGACGAAACTGCAAAAATCACGAGAAAAGGGAGAAAACCCAGAAATTTTTAGGGTTTATGCAGAAACCCAGATTCCAGATATGGCCGATGAAGCGTTACTACAACCTCCGACGGAATCTGCTTCTCCTAAATCTTCGCTTTTGGCCGAGGTTTCAAATGCTGCTACGAGAGCTTTCGTCGTCGGATTCAGTTCCTGTGCCTGCTGTGCGTTTGTCTTGGGTTGCATCGTGAGTTTCCGATTCGTTAATCTTCGGTATTTATTTTCAAAAACTTCAATTATCAGTTCCAGACCGCATCTCGGTGTGTGGATAAGCATAATCGATCTGGGCTTGTGTTCTTGATCGAAGAAACATGTTTCTGGTTTCGCAGGCTGGGTATTCTTCTCCTACACAGCTCAGTATCATGAGAGACTTGAATCTCTCTGTTGCCGATGTAAGCCCCCACTTTCAGATCTTTCATATTCTCGTTGACCGGCGCTGACCCTTGTCGGAATCTTACGTCATCTCCCGTTAAATCTACATGTCATCTTCTGCAGCCACATCATCACGCCATTGCGTGAGAAAATGTGGTTGTTTTGCTAAGCTTTTAGGATCAGTGTCTTAGAAATTGTAAAGTTCAGTACTTTCAGTGTTCCTTGACGGTGTAGTCTTCTTTGTTCTCAGTATTCATTCTTTGGATCCATACTGACCGTTGGACAAATAATCGGAGCTTTCATGTGCGGGAGATTGACAGATTTGTTCGGTCGTGTATATGTGAGATTTCATATTCCATAATAACAATTCAAGTTTTTATGCGGATCGATTATATTGATATTCGTCGTGTATTTTACTTTATGAAATACTTTTCCTTTGATTCTCCTGAACCAGACTATGTGGATCACGAACATTCTTTACATCGCTGGTTGGCTTGGGATAGCATTTGCTAAGGTTTGTGTCTTATAGATTCAAGATTTTTTTTTAAAAAAAGTGAATCTCCTAGTCTATATATAAGCCTTTTTTTTTGTTACTTCTTTAACTTATGTCCCATGAAGACAGGGTGCTTGGCTGCTTGATCTTGGAAGGTTCTTTCACGGCGTCGCGATTGGAATTGCTTCGTATTTGGTACGTTGTATAAAATTGTATTATGGCTTTAGCCCACATGTACATATTGTCAATGATTCTATGTGTGCAATGAATCCATATCCCTTGTCAAGTTACCTGTACGAGAACGAAAATCGTAAGTTATGTTCTTCCTGGTTTAATGGAGGAACTCATAAAGATTCTGAAAATCGTAAGTTGTGTGTGCAATGGATCCAAATCCCTTGTGCAATTCTATGATATACCATGTTTATTCACTATCATAGTCCATCGTTATGAATGTGATTAATAAGTACTTCGTATTCCAAAGGGTCCAATTTACATTGCTGAAATAACGCCGAGAAACCTGAGGGGAGCTGCTTCGTCCTTGTCCCAGGTACTATGAAACAAGTCATCGAGAGGAAAAACTCGAAACTTGGGGAAAAGTGAATTTGTATTGGCCCTAAAATCTCATGTAACTATTTCGAAGCTCGTGATCATGGTTTTTATCTTTCACAGTTGTGCATGGTTATTGGCATTTCCATCGTCTATGCTCTTGGAACTGTTGTAACATGGCGCAACTTAGCTCTTATCGGTAAATGTCGTTACCACTGTTTGAAGAATATTGCTAAATGTTGATTGTATATCCGGGTTTATGTTACTTCATTGAAAATCTCGTTAGAACTTTCGAGACATACGTTCTATATCGACCATTAATGTTAATATCGTGCCGAGGTGCCGACTTCTGAAAAATATATTTTTTTGGTCTGATTACAGGATCTGTGCCTTGTCTTGTGACTTTGCCTCTTCTTTTCTTTGTCCCCGAGTCCCCACGGTGGCTGGTCAGTTGAGACAAAAACTCCTTTTATCTCGTTGAAGTTGAGTTTTTTGTACGTATGTTTCTTATTCATTTCGATCTTTTTGGTTAGATTTGTTGGACCGGTAAATACTATAGCCATTGGTGGTTTTACCTGTAAATTGGGTGAAAGCTAGAAAAAAAATTATGCTTAAAGTTGTTTCCTTTCTCTTTCGTTTTAACTTTCGGATGTTGCAGGCTAAAATGGCGAGGTATAAAGAATTCGAGGCAGTCCTGTTGCATCTACGGGGAGCAGAAGCTGATGTCTCAGATGAAGCAGCCGAGATATTAGTAAAATCTTTAACCCCTAAACCTCAATCCAGAAAACAAAGAGCATAAGTATTATAAGTCATTCGATATCTTTGATCACATCGTTTTTACGAATGCCCTTTTTCTTGCATTCTCAGGAATACACCGACGGTATTGAACAGCAAACAGGGGACGGATTTTTCAAGCTATTCCAGCGAAAATACGCGTTTTCACTAATGGTAATTCTAGAAGAAAAAAAACTATCTTTTCTGATGAGACTTTGATCGTGAAAACCGAGCAACAAATGTGCAGATTGGAGTTGTTCTGGTAGCATTGCCACAGCTTGGAGGGGTCAATGGTTTTCTGTTCTACACCGATGCAATTTTCTCCTCGGCGGGTAAAAGTTTCTGTCTTTATGGATAATCAAACATCGACTTCTTCTGAGCAGTATCATGATCTACAAATTTCTCGAAGAACGCCAAAAAGGCGCATCTTGATGTGTTGTCTGCCTCCAGGTATATCCAGTGATGTTGGATTCATGACATCATCCCTAGTCCAGGTTTCACCCTGCAACTTCATGAATCTCCCTTAAATAATTCGATTAGCTTGCTTTTTATAGTATATTAATATTCCATCAGCATATAAACATAAACTACAGCTGTTAACAGGTATTTTAGGTACTTTCCTTGTGGATGTATCTGGGAGGCGTTTGCTTCTTCTGGTAAAGTTTTTTAATCTCAAAGTACCGAGATTTTTCTGGTTGCATCACCCGAAAAAACAAAAGGTTGCATACAAATTGTACGAATGCAGGTTTCACAAGCCGGAACATTATTGGGTTGCATCGTTATGGCCATATCTTTCTTCCTGCAGGTATGCTTCGAAAAGTTCTAATAAGTTCTTCAAAAACTTTTTATTAAACCGGGATTTGATATCGGTTTCATTCGGTTATATATAGGTTAAGTTAATGAAACGCTTACTCTGCAGGAGAGGCATTATTTGGAAACCGGAACACCTATGCTGGCACTTGCTAGCGTGTTGGTAATACCTTCGTCAAGTATTCACAAGTAAAATGATGCAAGAAAAAAGAATATCGCAAAACAATGGAAAAATTTAGATAACCCACGAGAGAAATTCGTGAGACTTTTGTACGGGTGACCTGATGAAAGCCGTTTTTTTTTCAGGTGTATATCGGCGCAAATGCACTAGGCATGTCATCAATACCTTGGATCATCGCATCGGAGGTAAGTTCAAGGTTTCTGCTGAAGGGTTAAATGGCAAGTTCAAGTTTTCGACGATTCATAAGATTCACATTTTCATTTTTTTTTTAAAAATGGTTATAGATTTACCCCATGGACGTAAAAGGTTCAGCTGGTACGATATGTAACCTCGCCGGCGCCATAAGCTCGTGGATCGTTGCCTATTTCTTCAGCTTCTTGCTTCAATGGAGCTCGACTGGTAATATCAATAAACGGGTAAAAAATATTATGGATACTCCAAAAGATAGATATGTGATTGGTGAAGTGAAAATGAATGCAGGAACATTTCTCATCTTTGCAAGTGTGTGTGGTTTTGGAGTTGTGTTTATCGCAAAGCTGGTTCCGGAGACTAAGGGCAAGTCCTTGGAAGAAATACAAGCTCTTCTTACCGCCTCTGGTTGATTTTACAGATCAAAGAACTGCATAAATATAAACCCAAGCAAAGAAAAATAAAAACGGGTCGAATTTATGAATGGTTCTTGATGTTGGGGTTTATCTAAATTTTGAGATTTTGTTTACACAGTTTCAATGGAGTCATTGTATTTATCAGCCTCTAAGATCCCCATAAACTCTACGTCACCATTAACACTATCGGAAAATGCTTAGTGGAATGCTCTCGACGCACAGAGATGGTTATGTTTTGTAGTTTAACTCACCGATCCCTCGAGCTTGAATTTCATGAGCTGATTCACTTCAGCTCTGAACTCCTGCGGAAGCTCTTTGAAGACGGATCTGCAATCATGATTCCTGAGATCATCGTTGCTAGTTGCTACAGCTGTCTCGTCATTGATCCATCTCTGGTGGAAACAGAATAGCTAATCTCTTACTTTTGGTGTGCTCGCCTCGTGCGCCATTTACGAGGAGTTGGAGGAATTTCGTGTTCACTGCAGAGGCGGCGTCTTGTAATTCGATGCGCCCCTGAGGGATAAACACGGCGGATCCGGCGATTTCCACGGCGGTGGTTCGTTGTCTTCCATTGGAAAAGCTCCGGCGATAGAGAGAGAGGGGGAGTGGGTCTGATTCTGTGAGCGCGATTTGAATTTGAATTTGAATTTTTAGAAGAACAGTTGGTCGTTATATACTCTCACGTGTCGACTACCACGTGCGAGGGTACTTTCGTACTTTTGCAGAAGTGAACATCTTGCTAAATCTCTTTCTTTATGCACGACGTTGTGTCGTTTTGGTTCGAATAAAACAAAAAAACGACACGCGGTCTAAAATCCTTCTTTTTAGTGTGATAAGACAGTTTGTGTACGTCTGTAGTGTCTGTATATAGACATATATAAACACACCTATCTGAATCTACATCTCTATACGTGCCCGTGAGGATATTAGACGGATTCTTCGTTTCGCTGTCCTTCATCCGAAGTTTATGTGAGCAGATTTTCATCTGCTTCTTGAGATTTGTGTTTCTGGGTTTCGTGAAAATTCTCCGGGTGAATTGTTGTATGATTGGATCGATTCCGGTGGAGACGAAAACATGGCTCAGGCCGTAGAAGAATGGTACAAACAGATGCCGATAATCACTCGCTCGTACCTCACGGCAGCTGTCGTCACCACCGTCGGTTGTTCGCTCGAGGTATGCTCTTGTCCGGTTTTCAATCTTCCGGTTCCCGTCGGAAACTTTTCCTAATTCGAAGTTACGATTGGGAGTGGAGTGGTTCTTCGTTCTAATTGGTTTTATTGGGTTTCATTGTCGTTCTTCCCGAAGGATCCCTTTTTATTAGTTTTCGAATTCAACTGGATTGAATCTCTCTGCTGAATTAGGGTTTCTTAGCTGAGTTTCAGGGCCTGAGAATTTTTAGTTTTTGGTAAAGGTCAATCAACTAGATGAATTGCTGTGAAATTTGTCGGTCTGTATGCAAGTGTAAATCATATTGTTCCATCTTTCATGGGGTTTGTTCCTTTTGGATTGCGAGTATGTATGCTTTGGTGTATATATATATACACACACGCGCGTACAGTAACTCTTGCCCGAGAACATATTACAGTTATATACAATTAACCCGTTGTTCTTCAGTGGCAGTGCTGTAGCTGTTGAATGTTTTGGTACCGATCACTGTAATGTCGGAACTTATGTTCTTCCTTTTCTTTTGAACGTTTTTGCAGATTATATCTCCATATAACCTCTACTTGAATCCTACGCTTGTGGTGAAGCAATACCAGTTTTGGCGCCTCATTACAAATTTCTTGTATTTCCGGAAGATGGGTAAATTCTTGAGCTTTCGAGTTGGAAGGATAGATATAAGAGTGTAATTCTTAGATGTCAACTTTCACCGCTCACTCGAGCTTTCTTCATTGTTTCTTATCCCAAAATCACACTTTGCCGCTATTCGAGTTTTAGGCTGTTGGCGGGATTTGATGCTCCTGTTAATGGGTCTGGTGGAATAATGCTGCAAACTCTTTGAAGCAATGTGTTTATTATTTCTTGACAATTGCAGATTTGGACTTCATGTTCCATATGTTCTTTCTCGCTCGGTACTGCAAGCTCCTTGAAGAGAACTCCTTTAGGGGAAGGACAGCGGATTTCTTCTACATGCTCTTGTTTGGGGCAACTGTTCTAACCGGTATTGTCCTCGTTGGGGGAATGATACCGTATTTGTCGGCCTCCTTTGCTAAAATCATCTTCCTCAGCAATTCGTTGACGTTCATGATGGTAGTATGCGTTTCTGTTTCCAACTCTTTGAAGCAAAACTAATTCATCTCTCAACTCTGACTTACATCCTCAATTTGCTCCTCAGGTCTATGTATGGAGCAAGCAAAATCCGTATATCCACATGAGTTTCCTCGGGCTGTTCACTTTTACAGCAGCCTATCTACCATGGGTGAGTTGGACTGATCTCGCATCCGCCTTCACAATCTTTTTCAGTGTCGTCTCCTCTTCTAAAGTAACGATCTTTTAAGTTTTAACCGAATCGAAATCATGCCCTTTACGAAATCATGGACCAGGTTCTTCTTGGGTTCTCTATCCTCGTCGGTGCCAGTGCATGGGTGGACCTTCTGGTAAACGCATTTTCCCCGAGCCATACTTGATAACTTCACTCGCTCTTTCTGCTCGTTTCCTCATGTTGAGCTCTTGTTCAACATAACAGGGTATGATAGCGGGTCACGGGTACTACTTCCTGGCAGATGTGTACCCGCGAATGACGGGTCGCCGTCCCTTACAGACTCCATCTCTGATCAAAGCCCTATTCGCAGATGAACCGGTAGTGGTGGCTCGACCGGAAAACGTGAGGTTTGCTCCGCCACCTGCAGAGGAAATCCACCAGGACTGAAACCGGTCTTATAAAAATTATCTTTGGTGACCGTGCTCGGTAAACAGTTTCGGTGTTCTTCGAGCAGATGGTTCGTCTTGTCTGAACTCCGACATTGCCTTAGTTGTGTGACTCGTTTCTCACGTTTTGGGTTTGATGTTTATTACTCTGTGGATATACGTTGGCATGAAAGAAAGGTTTGTTTTTCGTGGATACACACACACACACAGTAAATCCAAACATTGTGCAACTTTTTTTTTCCATTTTTGTGTGAAATAGAAAAAGAAAAGAGTGTAGATGATTTAGCAGTAAAGTTAGAGGTGGTCTCACTGTTCGGTTCGATTTCGGTACAGTATATGTTCGATTCGAATTATTCGGTTTTAAAAAAATATATATCAATCGATTACTATGTTCGGTTTTAAAAAATATATATCAATAGATTACTATGTTACATTTAGTTAATTAGTTAGGAATGTCAATTTTATCTCGAAATCTGGTTTGAATCCATCCCGAATATATTGGGTCTTTGACCTTGAATTTGTAGGTCTGAAAAAATTTGGATTTTTGGGTAGAACTCAAATCGAATTTATTAAAAAATAAATGTGAAAAATATATAGATGCACTTTGAAAAAATGTAAATTTATTTAATAAAATTTCAATTTTTTTTTTGGATTTTAAAATTTTTTATTAGGTTATGAGATAATTCAGTTTTCTACCGTCGAGATATTGGAACGAATTGGTTCGGTTCAAAAAGGGTATTCGGCCCACTCTGAATATAACCCTAATCGAAGCAGAGGAAGATTTGGATAATACACAGAGCAAGAAATCAGTTGCCACAACTCACAAATCTGTTTCTTGCATGAAGATTCCATGTCCGAACAGGAAGGAAAAAAAAACATAACATGCAATTGAAAAAACAAAAAACCGGACAGGACTGTCACCTCAGCATCATAAGACAGGGAACACAGGTTGTTGCAGTTTCTGATTTTTGATGTCTACTGGATGGGGTGGTACTGAGCCGACACTCTCTTTGGGGGCAGCTTACGCAGGATGAAGAGCACCAGCGCCGACGGTAGTATCTCCACCGCCTGTTCATTTCCCCCGACATCAATTTCAACATCAAAACACACACACACACACGAGAAGGATCGAGAGAGGGAGAGAGGGTGTTTGGAACCATGTAGTAGATCAGGTTCAGGACCGGATGGTCCAAGACGTCGAGCGACAAATCCATGTCAAAGGCTGATACAGCCACCTGCGTTTTCAAAGCTCAGTCTCCAGCCAGTCATAAACTTTTCTTTAGTTTCTTTAGGTTCCATCTTAGTGTGCTTACCACAATGCATCTTACAAGGAAGCAGGTGAAGCATATGGCCGTGACCGATCCGACCTGCCATATATACATACATACATATATATTGTATCAGTTAGTTACCCGGGTTAGAAATTGTAATCACAGACAACCTCAATTCCTAGGAGTGGAAAATGCACCCTAATGAGATGCAGTTTCAAACTATAGAGCAGAGAGTTCTATCATGTAACCTAAGCAAGCTCCCAACCCTCCAACCAAAGACAAGTGCTTTAGACAAAAGCTCCAACCAGTTTGGTGAAGACAAGCTCAGAGAATTGCATAGAATACACACACACACACACACACACATACACACACTCAAACTCTGAAAGTGTTAAATACCTCATGGAGTTTCTTCCTCCTTCCTTTTGATTCAATAGGAAACCTTCTTAGCATGGAAAACAATCTACGGCATAAAAAAAATTAACGATCCACATGAGAATAGGCGGAAAAGATAAACAAAACACCGAAGCAACTAAAGGCATGCTGAATAGTATTATCCTTCTGGATATCTTTATCACGAGATGCGAGCCAAGTAATAGAAGTTACACACCTTCCTCCATACAGCAAGAAACCTAACGAGGCGATGAACGAGACGGCTACAAGAAAACGCATTGCAGAAATCAACACAAATTCGAGTCAAAGCTACAACAATCAAACAAGACAAGAAAACATACATACATACCTGCAATGAATATCTTTCCAATTAACTCCACTAGACTGTTGTCATCTATCCAGAGGTATACCCAGATACCGACCTGATATACGCATTCATTACTCATAGTTACCAAACATGTCTACCACAATGAATAAAGATTCAATTATCCTAAAAACTTTTATGAAACATATCGGTTCTAGAAAGCCTTTGTCAGTGTACCGAAAGGTCACACTAGTCCTCGGTTGCAGAGATTAGTTACAACGTTAACGGGATAGGAACAAGGTTATGATCATGCAAAATTTACAGAATCAAACACAATCATGACAGATAATGTATGTATAAAAGAAATGAACCTCGAGATAAGCAACTACAACTTATGCAGATAGATTCCTGAGCACAGATTAGAATCCTTAAGATTATCTCAACCTCTGAAAAATAAAGACATACCTGCACCAAGTATATAGCCGCATTGACTGAAATATAAAATATCCGCAGCTTATCTGTTGGTAAGCTTCTTGCCTGTTTATTTTTGACAAAACCATGAATATTCAAGGTTTCTCTTCCCGAAATCGGAAGA